GGAAGAACGGCGTGAACAGAGAGCAGAGAGAGACCAAGAGACTGAATCGAATGAGAGAATGAATCGTCCAAAAGATCTCAAACCCTAGTCATAGAGAAGTCTCCAGAAGTGTCACCATCCAACGGCAGCTGGGGCGACACTTGATAACATCTCAACCGTCCAATGTTTTAACCAAAACACGCTTCAGTTAAAAAGGTGTAGGAGCAAACACGTTTTTACCAAAATATAACAGGGCTAGCAAGTTATCCAAAAAACAATCCAGCCCAACAGCATTACTCCAGCCCATTTCATCAGGATCAAGCCCTATCATCATTGTGCCATTTTCCCACACCAATAATTGAAATTGAAAAACACAAAGAATATATAAAAATCACCGGCCAAGTAGGTCCCACAAGAAGAGCTGTCAATATATGGGCACCAACTGTTGAAAAAATCTTGTCAGCCACCGACTATGCCTAGCCACGCTGAACCGGTCTTTAGTCAAACTTCGGCCAACTCATTAACGCACACGTTCAAATATTCAACGGTCAAACATTTAATTCAAATACTACAACGTATAACTTTCCTAATTTCCTTACCTAGGATTTTGAACGTTTCCTATATTTGCTACCTTTGTCTGCCTTTGACCCTCCAAAATCCCCTATCCCTTCCTCATATATATCACAATTATAACATTCTATATCCTAAAATCCCTTCAAGTTCTATACTTTTTACAACTAAATATCTATACAAATTACACAAGATTAGTTATTTGATTTCATTATCTCAAATATTTGATATATTTCTCTTTGAATAGATTTTGATTCGAAAAAGGTTTCGTATTTAGAGATAATATGAGTATGATATTTTCGTGGAGGAGGAGGAGAGCCGGCCGTGGCCGTGCCGGAAAGGATGAGTTTCCGGATATGGAACTCTCCATTCCGACTCATTTTCGCTGCCCAATTTCGCTCGATCTAATGAAAGATCCAGTTACAATGTGTACTGGGATAACGTATGATCGAGGAAGTATTGAGAAGTGGATTAATGCCGGGAATAATACGTGCCCGGTGACGAATCAAGTGCTAAGGAGCTTTGATCAAATCCCAAATCATGCCATAAGGAAGATGATACAAGATTGGTGTGTGGAGAACAAATCTTATGGAATTGAAAGAATACCAACTCCTCGAATTCCGATCACCCCATGCGATGTTTCAGAGATTTGCTCAAGGATAGAGGCTGCAGCGCAGCGTCAAGATGCGAAAAAGTGCCTAGATTTGCTTAAAAAGATGAAGAATTTGGCCAAAGAAAGTGAACGTAACAAGCGTTGCATTGTGCAGAATGGAGCTGGTTGTGCATTGGCAGCTTGTTTCGAGCTTTTCGCGAGTTTTTCGATAGAAGAATACACTGACTTTTTGAAGGAAATTTTGTCTGCACTCACATGGACATTCCCACTAGGCGATAAAGGCAAATCTAAGCTGGGATCAGCAATCTCTCTACGCTGTATTGCATTGTTTTTGAAAGGAGATGACCTTTCTTCAAGAAAACATGCAGTTCTAGTCTTGAAAGAACTGATTTCTGAAGATCAAGATTTTGTCAACAGCCTCATGGAAATTGAAGGCATTGTGGAAGCATTATTTCAGATTGTGAAAGTACCAATTTGCCCTACAGCTACAAAGGCAAGTCTAGTGGTTCTCTACCGCATGACTTTATCAGAAAACAGTGAAATGATCACATTAAAGTTTGTGGACATGGGTTTAATTCCTTGCATTCTTGAAATCCTTGTTGATGGCGATAAAAGCATTTGTGAGAAGGCTCTAGGCATTTTGGACAGTATTTCAAGCCGGGATCAAGGAAGAGAAGGTATGTACGAGAACGCGCTAACCATGCCGTTACTCATAAAGAAGATCTTGCGTGTATCAGATATGGCAACACGGTTTGTGGTTTCGATCCTATGGAAACTATGCATGGGGGAGAATGAAAATGCTGTGGTTGAGGCAATGCAACTTGGGGCTTTCGAAAAATTATTGGTTGTATTACAAGTTGGTTGTGGGGAAAGAACAAAATCAAAGGTTACTGAATTATTGAAATTGATGAATCTTTACAAAGATGAGCTTGATTGTTTTGCTTCATCTGCGAGATTCAAATTTCTCAAACGACCCAATTAGATTTTTTTTATTTTTTTGTGGTAGAAAAAGATTTCGTGTTAAGTTAGATTAGTTGTACAAAAATATACAGAAATTTTAATTCAAACATCCAATTGGAGTATACTATTCATTGTTCATAGAAAATAGTAATTGTTTTCAAATTCAGCGTTTGAGTTGATCAGCATGCTTTATATTATTATTTATTATTTTCCCTTATTAGGTAAATGCGTTCCTCGACCGGAGAACCGCTGGTTTCTTTATTTGTGAAGGATCTAGAATATTTGACGGAAACAAAAATCCACACCCAATTCTGGGCCTCACTTAAATATTATACCTAAATAATTTGGGTGGGGCAAAAGAAGGTCAACTTAAACCAATCACTTTCAAATTGAACTGTTGTGGGTTCCTAGTCCAAAAATTATTAGGGTTCGTTTGATAGGTAAAGGTGGAAAAGAATTTCAATTTCATCTTAATTGGAAAATAAAAACATATCAAACTCATAGGAATTCGTTTTTTTTATGAAAATAAAGAAAGTGCAGTTTAAAGTTGTTGTACCTTTGAATTCGATTTCCATTTCCACATTGTAATCAAACGATCAATGTAAAATTCATTTTCCTCGAATATGACACAATTAAACGGGGCCTTAGTTTTTTCGTTCTAAATTCACATGGACCATGATCAAGGAAAAAAAAAAAAGAGGATTTAGAGGCTAGATCTAGTATAAGAGTGAGTTAATTTTGTTGGACCATGGGGAGCAAATTAAGAATTTATATTTATATTTGTCGTGCTGGATATTTTATATATGTAGTATTTGACAGAAATTAAAAATAATAATAATAAGAAATCACTTTCTATCCAAGGTAGCAGTCTTAGGGGGATCAGCAAAACTGTATTAAAAAAAAAAACCTTTAATGTTAATACGAGGATAATTGGAAATGGATTAAATCTTTGAGCCGAGCAAAAGATTGACATCTAGCATGGTTGTAACACTCAACGGTAAAGTGAAGTCACCGAACATTTTTTTGATGTCAACAAGTCCATGCACAGAAAGATTCAAAACCAATTTCTTATAACCATGTAGTGATATTTGCTCCAATAAATGTACATATTGATACAATACTGTGGAATCATACTAATCAAAAGAGATATGAGAGCAAAGAGCACCTTTCTTCCAAAGTTACAGATTCAGCTTTGTTGGGTTTTTTGATACCCAATAAATTCGGGTCATGATATTAAATCGATTTTCGTGTTGGATTATATTTCATAGGTCTCGACCAATGACTGAAGTTGTATATCGACACCACGATTGTGTAAACCTTTCACGTAACCCACTTGGGCCATTTGAAGCAGCTTAATTATATTAGTGCTGCTCATGGCCCAACTCAATCCTGGATAGCTTCTATTATCTGTTGACAGTCCACTCATTTTCTATTGGGCCTAATTAGTTCTAACCCTAAAAACCCATACTTCATTCCTATATATGAGCTTGCCCATTACTGTTGTAGTTCGAGAGATATTATATAGCCCCCTTTCATTTGAGAAGAGAACCGGCGATTATTTGGCTTGCTTTGTGCTCTGCNTCCCTTTCTAGTCCTGTGGGGACAGATTCAAAGCAACCGGATTGGGACTTTGTTTTGGGTGTTGGTTTGTGGATTGGGTTTGTCGATCGTGGTGTTGATTGGTTTTGAGACTGAGCCCGGATCTTGAATCAATAGAAGGAAATCACTTACATATGGTATCAGAGCCAGGTTTGGTGTAGTTTCCAGCAAGCAATCGACCAAAAATCAACAGAAAAAGTCGAGCAGAAAACTGTCCAGATTTTTCTTCAAAAATCGGACCTGCAATTCAACTTTCCGGTGAAACTAGCGACTTTCTGGATAATCCAACACCACATGAGGACTCTGCAGGTGGAGGCGGTGCTACTGACTAGCGCGTGGAGGCTCTTCTGAAAACGGTTTCTTCAGGCAGTTTGTTATATTTGATTTCCTGAATGTATTGATATATTTGGTTTAGTGTTTCAGGTTGTGCAGGAAAAGTTAGACGATTTTGCCCCTACGTTCAAAATTCAATTGTCGTTCGGTTGATTGACGTAATTGCTGGAGACTTTATGGCAAATAGTAAGGGCCCTAAAGTGTTAAAATTATATGTCTTGAAATTTACGGACTCGGATAAGTACGCTCTGGTAAATTGGCTTATCCTATTTAAATTTTAGCATTAGCGCGTCATCGTGTGGGGTGACATTAGGATTGGGTTACCATGAAGGGGTAACCATTGCTTGTGCTAGAAATTTAGGAATTAATTGCTTTATTTGAAGTGTTAAATTTTGACTACAAGTTGGTAATTATTTTTGTGCTATAACTATTGTTTAGTCACTGTGTGAGAC